TTAACCCTTAGGCTCGGTATTATGGATATCGCAACCTTTCGGCCTTGATTCCATTGTAATACCGTAAATCTGGGAGAAATGTGGCTTTTCTGCCTACCCCCGGGAGTGAACCCGGACCACAAGGAGTTCGTCACCCGGTCACCTCGCAATCCGGTTTAGCCAACTACGCTAGAGAGCATTGTTGATAACCCCCCCCCCCCACCCCACCCACCAAGTGCCGATTGGTCTATGAAATATAGGTCTAGCCTGGAAACAGGGGTAACCTGACTGGAAATAGTGGTGACCTGACTGAAATAGGGGTAACCTGACTGGAAATAGGAGTGACCTGACTGGAAATTGGGGTAACCTGACTGGAAATAGGGGTGACCTGACTGGAAATAGGGGTGACCTGACTGGAAATAGGGGTGACCTGACTGGAAATAGGGGTGACCTGACTGGAAATAGGGGTGACCTGACTGGAAATAGGGGTGACCTGACTGGAAATAGGGGTGACCTGACTGGAAATAGGGGTGACCTGACTGGAAATAGGGGTAACCTGACTGGAAACAGGGGTAACACGACTGGAAATAGGGGTAACCTGACTGGAAACAGGGGTAACACGACTGGAAATAGGGGTGACCTGACTGGAAATAGGGGTGACCTGACTGGAAATAGGGGTGACCTGACTGGAAATAGGGGTGACCTGACTGGAAATAGGGGTGACCTGACTGGAAATAGGGGTGACCTGACTGGAAATAGGGGTAACCTGACTGGAAACAGGGGTAACACGACTGGAAATAGGGGTGACCTGACTGGAAATAGGGGTGACCTGACTGGAAATAGGGGTGACACGACTGGAAATAGGGGTAACCTGTCTGGAAATAGGGGTAACCTGATTGCGATGAAGCTGGAAGAGCCACTGACAATCTAATCACCAACGTGATTACTATCATCATCGTTACCATCAGCATTATCATCGTTGTAATCAGCATCTTCTTACGACCATCATCCATAATATACAGACAAATATCATTGTCACACTGTTGTGTGCTGAACCCACTTTGCTATTCAATTGTACCAGAGATCAGATGTGTGAACGCTTATGCCAGTCGTACAGGCGCTATCTGATGATGATGAGGACATAGATGAGTGCGAAACGTCCACGCTGCTTGACGCGTGATACAGAGGTTTCTTGAAATTAACGGCTATCAGCGGTCTCCACGGGTATTGCAAGACACAAGCTTGACTAGTCGCTGAGCTGAAGGTTAACCCGTGTTTAGTCAGTTCCATTCGGTCAGTCGTAGTGTGTGGACGCGTTGAGCATGTTTTGTTCCAGTCCGATGAGTTTTAACAAGGTGTTTTTATTCTGTTGGAGCTGATGTGAATCGTGTGATGGTTTAATTAGTGGATCGTGAATTAGACTTTTGAGAATTCTGTCGGTAATGTCTAGAATGGATTCGTGTCGGCCCATGTGTGATGGGGTCGACAAAGTTGCGGCTATGTGACACGTGGTTGATGGGTTTCCGTAAGGGCACGGAAGGCGCCGGGGAACTCTTGAGTGTCAACCAACGTGTAGATGTGATTGGTTAATCAGCAATACTACGGTGAGTGACTGGGATAGCAGGCGAGAGACCAAGAGTTTTCACCAAGAGATGCATCTAACTTGAGTCCTTGGTGACGGGGCCCTTTTGGACAGCACCGTCAGAGGATTGTCACTGTACATCACATAGGTGTATCTGAGCGGTCGGGTGTGAGTTGCCCGTAGCAGGCACCTGGGACATAGTGTTTTGTCCATGACCTAGAGGAAGGCAGTAGAAGACTTGACAATGTGTCATCGATCACTACTCATCTTCGTCGTGACGTGTTTCGTCCATAATAAAGAGACTGAAACACTGTTACAGAGAGGACTTTTAGTGTATTAAAGTTGACCTTGTGATGCCAGTGTTTGTAGTACGTTGTCGATTAGGGAACTGTTTCTATGTATGGGCGAAGCATATACATATCCCCTTGACTGTTGGCAAGCTTGCGAGGTTCGGACAGAGCGCACGTAATACACACCACAGGCACATGGAACATCTGAAGCAAGACAATGCATTGATCGAAATCCTCTCCATGTCGCCTGACTGGAGAAACTGCGACAACCATCGCCCAGACATTGCGAGAAGCAATGATGCCCGTTTTTCGTGATGATAGACATTTCACAGCTCAGCTGCTAGCCTTTAGCTGTCGGACAGCAATGGAAGTGTCCCTATAGAATATCACAAGTCTGGAGTTTATGTAGGTTTAGACAAAATGGTTCCGGTAAGACTCGAAAATAGTCACAGATCTCAAAGCACAGCAAGTAATTATCAATTGCTGATGTATCTTGACGCTGATTGCTAAAACGTTTAGTCCAAGATCGACACAGGGGATGTATCCTGCTCTCATCATTGTGAGCCTGAGAACCAATGCAATAACCAACAGAGAAGCGTCATCAACTATCGCCACTAGCAAAGAAATTCAAGACAACTACATCAGCAGGTAAAGTCATGATCATCAAGGTGTGATTCTTATGCAGGAGATGCCAAGAGGTGAAACAAACAGTTCTGAAGCTTACACGCAGACCCAAAGGAAACTCAAAATTCTGTTCGATCGAAAAAAATTCCAGCAGAATTGTCTCTCCAACACTGCAATGCACGAGCTCACCAGAAATATAATACAGTTCCTTATTTCTAATGCTTTTGTCCTGGGGGCCACTTTAACGGAATACTGCGGTTCTGTTTGTCTTAATGTCGTGCCATTTCATATACAATATCGATATGTCACATCTGACCTATGCAAAAACGTCATCTTTCTCTCTTTATTGTTCGTTGAGGGGTAAAAAATGGGGGGCATTAATTTCTGAACGCCCCTTGTAATTAACAGAACAGGAAACAAACAAAAAGCTGCCAAACATATGAGCTTGCAAAATAAAATAAAAATATATTTGTGCAATTAATTGCAAAATTGGGTTAATAACGATCTCTTTCTTTCAGATATAGAAGTGGCTCCTGGTACATCAAAAGTAACCTACAGTTTATCAGTTTAGATTAACAAATGTGCCCCTTTTCTCTTAATGTTTAACAGTGTGTTCGTTCATACGTTATCTCATTGATTCTCTGCTGTAGGTTTTGTTGCATACTCCTTAATTAGAAAGTTTACAGACAGTGAAATATGTTAACATTCTGTACACATGGTGATTCCATAGACGCACACGCCATTTGGTGGCAGTAATGCTGGTGTCATTAATTGCCTCTCTCTCTCTTTCTCTCTCTCTCTCTCTCTCTCTCTCTCTCTCTCTCTTTCTCTCTCTCTCTCTCTTTCTCTGTCTCGCTCCTTTTCAATCGCCTACCTACTAACCTACATATTCACTTCCCTAGTTTACTAACCTTATAACCTGCATACTGTGTGGCTCCGAAAAAAAAAAGGGGGGGGGGAAGGGGGTCTTATATTAATTTTTGCTTCAAAAGACATCTTCGTGAAGATTTACAGTATACGGCTTATTTTTTCATACCCAATAATCTATTTTACTTAAGTACAAAACTAGACATTTATTCAAGTAAAAAATCTACATCTATTCATTCAGTAACACACACAAAAATTTATAACTGAACGCACTGTCGAGTTTCTTAACAGAGAGAGAAATTAGCCCGGCTGGTTGATGACCTTAGCTAGTTCTTATATGTGGACTAGTTCTTATATGTGGACTAGTTCTTATATGTGGACTAGTTCTTATATGCGGACTAGTTCTTATATGCGGACTAGTTCTTATATGTGTACTAGTTCTTATGTGTGGACTAGTTCTTATATGTGGACTAGTTCTTATATGTGGACTAGTTCTTATGTGTGGACTAGTTCTTATGTGTGGACTAGTTCTTATGTGTGGACTAGTTCTTATGTGTGGACTAGTTCTTATATGTGAACTAGTTCTTATGTGTGGACTAGTTCTTATGTGTGGACTAGTTCTTATATGTGAACTAGTTTTTATATGTGGACTAGTTCTTAAAGGTGGACTAGTTCTTATATGTGGACTAGTTCTTATATGTGGACTAGTTCTTATGTGTGGACTAGTTCTTATGTGTGGACTAGTTCTTATGTGTGGACTAGTTCTTATAATCCAAACATACTAAACAAATCAGGCTAGGTCCTTGTCTGGGTTAGGTTCTTTCCCGGAGAAACACGGCACAACCATGTCTGTCGGTTTCACACATGTCGGATTTCTGTTCGTTTGTCTGTTGGTTTCACACATGTCGGATTTCTGTTCGTTTGTCTGTCGGTTTCACACATGTCGGATTTCTGTTCGTTTCTCAGACTAGTTTGGTTTCTTTCGCATTCTCATTCTGTTTATCTACCAACTTGTCTAAGGACCCACCTGTCTGGTTTGGTTTCTTTCGCATTCTGATTCTGTTTTATCTACCAACGTGTCTAAGGACCCACCTGACTGTTTTGGTTTCTCTCGTATTCTCATTCTGCTTATCTACCAACTTGTATAACGACCTAATCGTCTATTTCTAATTGTCTGCCAGTCCATCCGACTGTCTCAAAATATCTCTATTTCTCTTTCTAACTCGTTCCATTTATCTACTTACTTTTCACCAACTTCCCTGTCTACTCACCTACTCACTTACAAACAGACCTATCTGCCTACACGTCTGTCTATCGATCTGTCTGTCTGCTTGTCTTGATGTCTATCGTTCTACATATTCAGTCTTTCTAGAGACACACACACACACACACGCAATATTATGTCAGCGTTGCATCTTAGCACAACGGTTATTTAGTAAGAAAACAAATTACTTGTCCCAAACCATGATACTCATTTCTCAGTGGTTTCATGTAATGTATAAAACAATATTTGTTAACTACACACACACACACGCTGTCACATGCCCGCGTAGGCAGAAATAATTAAAAATCAGTATCTCTGGGAAATAACACGCAATCACACGACACAATATCAAACCAATCGGCCAGAAAATCAATGGATTCGTGTCTTGTAGAAACTAGATCGAAGCCCTTTTCCTGCTTAGGGCCTGCCACTGAACGAAAGAAGAATTGTCCTCTGTGGAACTAGGGCAATCTTCTTTTGTGTTGCCTGATTGCATTGGAAGTAAATGTGAGATTTTGCCCGGCGCCCTGGTCACCGAGTACCTGGGTTTGCCCCTTGATCGGAGATTGTAACAAGAACAGGAGCACACAGATATTAGGTCATTGTACTCGGGCGTTTCCTGGGCGTTCAAAACCACGCTTCCGTTGGCTGTGATGACGTCACCTTCTAATCTAACAGCGCCCCTGGCGGCCGCTGCTGCTTCCCGCTCTTCCCGCTTCTCGTCTGCCGTGTTCATAGTCAGAAAACGCAAAATGAGCAGATTCATGGCGGCAGATATAACTGTCAAACCAAAGAGGATAAAAATTAGACAGAACGTCACGTACTTGGGCTGTTGGTTGAGCATATCGTCCTTTTGCAACGCCACGAAATCCCCGAATCCTATAGTTGTCAGGGTCACAAAGCAATAGTAGAACGCGTCCACGTAGGGCCATCCTTCGAAGTAAGAGAAAATGGCTGCTCCTGCAGTCAGTACTAAAGTAGAGAGATTCAGTGTGATAAGAATCAGGTTTGTTTCGGAAACTTCTGTGCTCTTCATTCTAAAACATTTGCGTATATTTTTCACCAAGAAGGTGACGAAGGTGTTAAGCCGTTCTCCCACGCTCTGAAACATGACGATACACAGCGGGATGCCAGACAAGGAGTAGAACATGCAGAAGATCTTTCCGCCCACCGTCTGCGGTGTGCTGTGTCCGTAACCTGCAACAAAGACACGAACAAAACAATAGATTATTAAATGTTTCCGCCAACTATTTTATCTTATATAGAGCAACATATATCCCCATTTTCCAGATTCCATGTTTTTGGTGAAATAAGGCAGGGACACGGCAGACAATATTTAGCTGTAATGTTGGTCCACGCCAGCTGTCTTGTCCAATATTAGTTTATTTTCAAATTTTGTTTTTTGTTTCTTCAGAATTGCAGTTTGTAGGATTAACGTATGAGGCGTCAGAATCAGATTTCCGGTCTAATCCTATAAATAAACAGAGGGGGAACCTTTGAGGCCGTTAAATATTATGAATTAATCGAGTAACACACAGTGTATTGATGGGCACTCATAGAGAGAAGTAGAAAGATAGAAGAACACACTAGCGTGTGTGGTGACAGGTTCAATTACCGGCACGGTTACTATAGCTTTCGATTTTTATGTTGTCTAGTGTGTTCTTCTATCTTTCTACTTCTTTCTATGAGTGCCGATCAATACCCGGTCTAATCCTAACGCGTATCCAGGACAACCGATCACGAATGTACCAGCAGTATTAGATGCCGCCATTGATATGCAAAACAATGGGGACTTAGCCAGGACATTGGCCGCTAGCACCATGTTTATTCCACAGATCCCCCCACTGACACTAGAACTACCCCTGACAGCTATAGGTCTGATCAACAGTATTTCTAAAAATACAGAAAATTTTGAAACAAAAACCATGGCAGAAGAACATATTGATAACATTCGAACAGATAACCTTTTGTGTATACTGACGGATTTAAAAATAAGGCAGGGGAAGTAGGAGCAGGAGTAACTATCCCTCAGTGGGGAATGCATAGAGAATACAAAATAACAGATCGACCCAGCCTTGAGTGGGTACCCGGTGCAAAAGTAAAGGCGGCCGGCGTGATGCTGACAACACCCATCTTGTGCCGATTGGTCTGTAGAAATATAGGTCCAGCCTAATATGCCCTATATGCCTAAAGGCGTGGAAATGGTACCTTTACCTTTTTTTTTTTTTTAATACTTTTTTACTTTTTTTGTGTAATATAAATAATGTAATACATTACAAAGGAGTAAAAATCTAAGAATGTAACAATGACATTGTAAGTAATCAGACACCAACTCCCTTTAGTAAAGTGACTTCCCTTGAGTTGAGCCAACACAGTAACTGGCTATTTTCTCTGGTACTACCGGCGGTAATGAGAACAGACATTTTGTCCCAGTTTCCAGGCAGACACGCAAGAACTGAGATTATCGATGACATTATATCCCCACCTAGCTTCCCAACTTCACAGCCCGGCCCGTCGATCGGGGAAGCTCTACATCTGTAAGCCAAACGTTATATTTAATTGTGCTTGGCATATCAGTAAGTAGACGCGAAAGGTCATCACAAAGCAAGAGACAAGATAATGGGACACATTTCTATATTTTTACAGGGAAGCGACCACAGAATGAATTAGCTTTCGATCTTCTTGGAAATGTTGTTGGATCGACATTCCTGAGAAGTTTGCTGATGCAATGCACCCATTCTGTCTTGGTGTTTGTCTCTGGCGCTACAGTGATGGTGCATTGTGATGCTGCCAGTTAAGACCAAACATAGTAGGAATTTCCTTGAAGTGGTTTTACTGAAAAAAAACCCACAATTATATCAAGGGCAGATGCATAAGCGCCGGAAACCGATCCACCCCCCCCCTCCCTATTTGCTGTCAGTCATATCCTGTTGTGAGCCCCACCAGTCATGTTTATGTTGTATGCATGATGTGGAATGAGATGGTTTTGAGTATGAATCCCAGAAATATATGCATACCTATTGGACATTCCCTACACCTGCAATCTCTCTCACATGTGTCTACCAATGCCTACATAAATGTATTTACATTCATGCAAAACGTGTACAGCCATGTGGGCGTGAATTGCGTGCGTTTTTATAATCGTTACAACGCAGTAGTCAATTGTATTTAAGACCATGTTTGCCAGCATAGCTCATGCTGCGCGCATGAGAAACCAACACAATTTGGGGGAGAACTCTATTCACTGCCCACACAACTGAAATCCTACAAAAGTATAACGCTACACCAAAACACTCAGTTCATTTTCAAGTAGTCATGAATGGCACTTATATCGATAAATTTATGGAATATTGCCATTGGCTGACTGCAGGCAGAAGAAAGTAAAAGTCAAAGTCAGGTTGCCAGGCATCTAAACGTGCATCAGAGTACCATCAGTCGATTTTGGCACCGGTTCCAAGCCACTGGTTCAGTTTAAGACCGATATCACATTGGACGACACAGAGTGGCAGCGGAGAATCGCTCTATTCAGAAGCGCACACCAGAGACAGGTTTGCAACAGCTTCCTCAATTGCACAGGCATTGCCTCCAGGATGACATGTCTCATCAAACTGTTCGGATCAGACTGCATGCCGCTGGACTTTGGGCACGACAACCAGCGTCGTCCCTGCGCAGGTGACAATCAATTGAGACATGTCTGGTGCAGTGATGAATTGTGTGTGTGTGTGTTACAGCGTCATGATAGACGGCGTAGGGTCTCCCGTAGGCGAGATGAAGGTTTGGCCCAAAGCTGTGCTGATGAAGCTTTGCTGCACGGTGGTAGATGTATAATGGGGTGGGGAAATGATCAGTCATAACGGACGGAGTCACTTGGTACACACTAAAGGAAGCTTGAATGCTCAACGACACGTCAATGAAATTCTTCCACCACATGTCCTCCCATTTTGGGATGCCAGTAGAAATCAGACCCCATTCTGCCCGGCTGACGACGTTGCTTCAGCCAATGGTCGTGAGCTGTTGCAGGCACTTCAGGAAGAGTGGTCATCCATACCACAGGCCCACATCAGACATCTGATGGCATCCATTACCTATATCTGTTTTCCCTGTTCAAACATCAACAGCGACAAAAACAACAATTTGACATTCATCACTTCAGAGATTGGGAAAATCCATTCAAACGCAATATAAAGATCGGGAATCCCCCAGAGAAGGGAGCTTGTTTCATACACATCTCAAGCCAAATTGACGGACTCATAAGTTTAATTCTCAGAGATGTCTAAAAAGCGTTTTCTCCGCATAAGCGACAGATAGGCGGGAAACAAGGGCCGGTGTTAAGATGAATCCATCCCCTGGAGAATTTCTTCTCCTAAACAAACAAAAATGAAGTACTGAATACGTAATCAGCTTTTATGTTGATTGATTGAACTGGGTGTGTGTTGTGCGGACATTTGACGGCCATGTATGCTGAGAAAGGCTGCGGGGAAGAGAAATGTAAAAATAAATAAATAAATGTAATGCAAATGCAATACAGTGACAGAATATATTTCTTCTTAACACTCACTGATTTTTTCACTGCTGCGGAACGTTTTGGTTTCTCATCTACTTCTAGTCTTTAGTCTTGATCCAGAACATACCTTTTACATATATGGCTTATTTATACACAGACTGTTGATTTCTCGCCTCTCAGGCAGACGCACTCCGACTTCGAAGGAAACACCTGTAATTAATGACATTTTACGACATGCTTGGTGGGGTAGGGGGGTTGGGCGAAACTAGAGTACTTCCACCGCCCAAGATAGACTACAGAGCCTGAACGGGAAACTGAGGTAAGTTCAAGATTAGAAGAAGAAGAAGAAGCAGAAGACGAAGGATGACGATAATAATGATGAAGTTGATAATGATAAGACGGAGAAGGATGGGGAAAACTTTATCTAAAAGATAAATTCTTTCATGCTACGATGCAAAATCTGTCCAATTTCCTATCTTTTCGTATCCACTGTCTCTCGACCGTTCACATTTTCCGTTGTGACGAGGAACTCTTGTCCTGCTCACAGTGCGGCAACGCACGCCAACTGTCAACTTTTGATGTCAGTAATGAGATCTTTTCGCATGTTGACTTCTTTCAAGATATTGTCATGAAACGTGTTTCTCTGTCCATGTGTTCTCCCCTGTTTTCCTCTAGAAAACCACACCTCTGTGTTCTCCCCTGTTTTCCTCTAGAAAACCACACCTCTGTGGTCTCCCCTGTTTTACTCTAGAAAACCACACCTCTGTGGTCTCCCCTGTTTTCCTCTAGAAAACCACACCTCTGTGGTCTCCCCTGTTTTCCTCTAGAAAATCACACCTCTGTGTTCTCCCCTGTTTTCCTCTAGAAAACCACACCTCTGTGTTCTCCCCTGTTTTCCTCTAGAAAACCACACCTCTGTGGTCTCCCCTGTTTTCCTCTAAAAAACCACACCTCTGTGGTCTCCCCTGATTGTATCATGAACCGGCTGATTATCCACGATTCATTTCTAAAATTGCGAATTGGCTGTGGATATCTTTTAAGACCGCTGACCTTTCACATCAGCTGACCTAGTTAGAGGGCCGCTGATACAAGGCGTATCTTTGTTTGGGTAGGGGATAGACTTAAGGGACACAAGCCATGTTTATGTCCTTTAAATAATAATAATAATTACAGTAATAAAAATATACTAACTGCAGTAACAACACAGTGGAGGTGGTAAACCTTATTTTCGGATGGGGAGGGAGAGGCAGGAAAGAGATCAACTGTCCCTAATATTATTTACAAAAATGTTTGTCAGACTCAGGATGTCTATATGTCCACGTTCTGTGGCAATAAGTATATTGCACAGAAACAGCCAGTGATAAATCAGTGAAACTTAGACGAAAACAGCCAGTGATAAATCAGTATAACTGAGACGAGAACAATCAGTGATAAATTAGTGAAAGTGAGAAGAGAACCACCAGTGATAAATTAGTGAAACCGAGACGAGAACAACCAGTGATAAATCAGTGAAACCGAGACGAGAACAACCAGTGATTAATCAGTGAAACTGAGACGAGAACAACCAGTGATAAATCAGTGAAACTGAGACGAGAACAAACAGTGATTAATCAGTGAAACCGAGTCCAGAACAACCAGGAATAAATCAGTGAAACCGAGACGAGAACAACCAGGGATAAATCAGTGAAACCGAGAAGAGAACAACCAGTGATAAATCTTTGAAACCGAGACGAGAACAACCAATTATTAATCAGCGAAACTGAGACGAGAACGACCAGTGATAAATCAGTGAAACTGACACGAAAACAACCAGTTATAGATCAGTGAAACTGAGACAAGAACAACCAGTGATAAATCAGTGAAACTGAGACGAAAACA